CAAGGGGGCTGTTTTGTACTTAAATTATTTACTGGGTCAGGACTGGCCATCGATGTTTACAAATGGGTCCCGATACAAAAAAGGTTGGGAACCACTGCTCTGGATAACATGCTTATACTAGCAGTCTTGTCATTTCTACTATGACTGGTATTGTAAAACTGGAAAAGTCTTAATGAAAATTGTTAGGAAAAAAATAAAAGGGAAAAATTCCAAAGCATCTACATGACGTAGAACCTTAACTCCAGTTTCTAACAGTCATTCATGCACTGTCTTTCAAAAGGTGTTATTTCAGCGGGTAAGCAATTATACTGTTTTTGAAAAATGTTAAAAACATTAAAAACTCACTAATAATATTTAACATCTTCCTCTTTAACATCTTAACATCAAGCAGTCCCTTCATTTCTCTCTCTCTACAAAGAATTACCTTCAACCAAGACACACCTATCGGTTCCCCTTTCAAATATCTAAGCTCTGAAAATGTGATCCCATATACTTCTCTATTTCATACATTTACCTGTAGAAAGACAAGGATTTTATTTTTCTTGGAATGGCAGAGTGACATATTTTGAGATATTTTACTTAATTTTTTATTTATAAATATGGTAATTTACTATGAAATAATTCAAACTGCCAGAGAGCACATATTAGTTAAATTTAGCACTTCTTATTCTCCTATTGGCAGCAATTCAGGTTGAAAAATGACATCAGTAGTGACACTGAAGTATGGGAATTCAAAGCAAACTAGTTTTTATTCTACTTTACTGCTGGTTTAGCAATCATAAGGACTGTTATATTTAAACCAAATGTTTAACCTGTTTGTAATGGCTGACTAGTTACAACAATTTCCATGGTTTAACAGCAGGAGCACAGTTAACTCATTTCCTTCTGTACTTAGTGGGAACTTGGTTGTGAAGGGAAGCCAAGAGATCCAAGTATATAGTATTGTTAAGGAAAGGCAGCTGCACTAGCATAGGCAAATTTCAGTTAAATGTGCTGGTGACAAAGTGGCAGGAAAAGAGACGCACTGAGGTAAAAGAAGGGGAGAAGGAAGAAATGTCCACTTGCCCCCTACCCCATACCACATGTCCCCCTTACCCTTGCCTGTGCCAGCCCCCCTGCTGCCTGGTCCACCCCAGTGTCCACCCCCCTGCCACCTGGCCCTCCCACCCTGTGCTCCTCTCACCACCTGCACCCCCCACCATTTACCTTCTGCAGTACCTCTGGCTTTGGCACAGTTGGTAGCAGTGGCCCTAGCCCTGGCCTGGCCCAGTCTAGCCAGGCAGAAGCAGCCAGGTCCAAGTTGGGAGGGGGCTAGAGCCAAAGCTGAAAACAACAGCTGGGGTTGGGGGCTGCACAGTCTCCCTCATACTCCCCATAAACTACACACTGGATCATGTGGATGCTGTTCTCCCTCATGACTCCCCTCCACTGCAGTTTCCCCCATGATTGCCCTAACACAAGCCTCCTTCCAGTTGCATGAGCCACCCCAGGATGAGGCAGGCAGTCACTCCATCTGACTTCTGCCTAGGGCCAAAGCCAGAGCTGAGCCACTGCATGCCGTGGGCTGGTATTTGAATTTAAGATGAAGCTTCACTTCCCTATGCCTGCCCATCTTGGGTTTGAGTCTGTTTGGTAGTATAAAGGTTGCTTAATCATGAAATATAAAATTTGTTACTTTCACACACATTAGAAACAGAGAATACAAATGTCACTTTGAAAGTCACGTAAGTCCGGTCATCCGGCCAATTAACATTAAGATATGCTAAAAGACATGCTTTATCTTTTATCTTATTTCAAGTGTCTTGTCCATGCTGTTTAAATCATATACACAGTTTTGTAGATAAGATTGAACACATTTTCTGATTATAAGAAATATCAGAAATGTATATGCAGGATCTCAAACTTCTAAAAATTCAGGGCCTGTTCAGCATTATCAGTCATAATCCTTACTAACACGAGAGGTCTTGCAGGCTTTAGTGGAACTGCTCTGAGTAATAAGCACTATTATCAGTACTGTTTTGGGGATCAGAGCCCCATAAGGTTTTGAACTAGAGACTGAAAACAGAAGAACTGTTATTCATATAGTTCCATATT